TTCAATTGAAGAACAGAAGATATCATTAGAAAATGAACAATATGAATAGTATCAAAGCAATCGGACTTACAGTTTTTAACAAGAAGTCGAAAATATCACTTTTTACCAAAAATTACAAAAATATTCACCAAAATAAATTAATTAGAGAATTGAAGATATCATCACAAAATGGACAAATCTGAGAGAGGTCCACGTGTAGTACCTATATATGTAATATCAAAGCAATCGGACTTGCAGTTTTTAACAAGAAGTCGAAAATATCACTTTTTACCAAAAATATTCACCAAAATTAGAGAATTGAAGATATCAACATGAAATGAACAAACTAAGAGAGGTCTACCCAAGGTACATATACACCAAGTATCAAAGCATTCAGGCTTGTAGTTTTCAAGAAGAAGTCGAAAAAGTAAAACATTGACACGGACGACGGACGACGACGACGGACGACGGACGACGACGGACAATCACTCATATGATAAGCTCCCAGCGGAGCTAAAAAACACGGCTGTCAGCAGGAGCTCAGATCGGCGAGTGTATGCCTCATTTACATACACTATTTTGGAGGTGAAAAACACGGCTGTCAACAGGAGCTCAGATCGGCGTGTGTATGCCTCATTTACATACATACATTTCTGAGACCTTGACCTCCATCACACACAGGTAAGTACACTATATTTTTCTTGATCCAATGAAATTTTGGAAAATGATTTGATTAATAATTAGAGTTCCACCTCGGTAGGACATCTTGGGTGAGAACTTTAGATTTAATTTTATCAGTAATGCCATCCCAATTCTGTGCCATGTATGCATCGTTATTCCCAAGAAAGGTGCCAAGCACCTTTAGCCCCTCATTGTTCCACGTAATGGATAATGGTTTATCAGTCCGTGTTTTCCAACCTCCTGCCCAGAGACCATTTGACTTATTAAGATTAATTCTTGAGTTTGATGCCTCCTCATATATATGTATCCATTTGCTTAATTTCAGAAAATCGTCGTTGTGTGTGATAAAAAGGCTGCGTATGCTGTTAAATGTACCGGGTTATTATTTGAGTTGTGGATCTTAAAACCCTGCATACCACTCTCTTTGCGTATTTTGTTCAAGAATGTCTCAATAACAATAGAGTACAACTGACCACTGAATTGACAGAATTTGTGAGTGTCGAATTAACCCTAATAAGACTTTGTGCTCCAGAATCAATTAAAGGCTTCCTCAAAACCGAAAGCCTGCAGTGTTTTGAATAAAAAATCGTGATGCACCCGGTCGAACGCTTTCTGCTGGTCCAGAGAGACTTTAGCATGGTACATGATTAATGTTGGAATATGAAATAATATCCTGCACTAGACTTATATTATCATAGATGCGTCTTCCCGGAATACAATACGATTGATCAGTATGAATTTTTTCACCGAGTGAATCACAAAGCCGTAGAGAAAGTGCTTTTGTAAAGATTTTGTAATCCGTGCAAAGGAGGCTCACCGGCCTCCAGTTGCTCAATAAATTGTTATTTCCATTGTTGGGCAACAAGGAAATAACTGCCCTCCGACAAGACAAAGGTAGCACACCATCTTCAAGAGAGGCAGAGAAAACGTCGTACAGATCATTGCCCAGCAACGTCCAAAATTGTTTGTAAAACTCACACGGTAATCCGTCGGTTCTAGGAGTCATTACCACGTGACAGAAGTTTTACAGCCTTAGAAAGTTCATTAAATGTAAGATCTGAGTCGCATTTCGCTTTTTGATCGACAGACAACTGAGGAAGATTTTTAATAGAATATTCTGACATTCTGCGACCTTTATGTTTTTCTAGTTCAAAAAAGTACGATGTTGGTGCATCATTTTCATGTAATAAGTGATCATGCCGTGCTCGTATGGCTGCTCCTTTCGCTTCAGTTTTAACAAGATTTTCGAGTATATCTCGCTTTTCGACCTCGTGGTTGCCGTTGTCAATCACTTCTAACTGTTCTATTGTTTTACAGATATCACGTTTAATGGTGTAGTAGTTTTTACTGAGCTTGGCTGTATATGTGTCCCTTTTGGTGACATGTTGGCTCATCATTTGACAAGTAAATTTTGTAAGTTCGCTCATTGTGAACTACATTAAAAACACAATTAATATTATCGTGTCCAGGAACCATGTAGACCTGTCTACGAAAAGAAATAGCATGACGCAACTCGGGTTGATTCAAGCCAAGCGGTATCATTCGCACAGAACTTACAATTCTGCCATTATATCGTGTGAGCTGTTCTTCTAGTAATGAATTCAGAATGAGCGGTGGTACTCCTGACAAAACCGACAGTAGCTATAGAGTCCAGGACAATAATAATGCTGCCATTTGCCCTAGATGCAGCAATGATATTCTTAGCACCAACAATTTTCGAGATTGAATCAACATAAGAAACAATTGGAATACCACTGACTGACTCACACTTAATTCCATGTTTACCAGTCAGCCCAAAGAAAGACGTTGTCAACGCCCTGGCAGCCACCTTGCTTGCCAGCGTGGCAGATTGTCACGAGTCAACAACACCGAGAAACTAAAACGACCAAAAACAAGGCAGACTTATGCCAATCGACCACCAAGTATTTACAACAAAGTACTAACAAGAGAAAAGGCTCACTGTGTTTCTACAAGTGTGACGTATTAGCGTGTGCAGCTCATTAGCATACATACGTACATACATTTCTTTTTTTTTATTACTCAAGTATTAAAAGTAACAATTATTTACAGTTTAAAAAACTCACACGTAGGTGAGGGGAAATGAACAATTAAACTAATCTTAAATCGAATAATAATTAACGAGTGAAATGATATCGATTTCACTTGTAAAAATGACTAATAAACGAATGTATATAAAGTGTAAATGCGAATGAATAAAGCGAGACTGAAATGTGTGAAAAATAATGATATATTGAAATTAAACGAGTTCATAAACGAGTTAAATTTTGCGATTGTTCCTTTGCCAATGTCTATTTGAGGGGAGGCAAGGGGGTAGCTGGTACAGTTTTACGGGAAATAAAAAGGGCTTTTCACAATTTACGAAGAAAAAAAAGACGTTTTTACAGTTTACAGTGTAATAGAACATTGAAGGGTCCGAAGAGCTCTCCAACTCAAATTCTCCGCCATTGCTGCGCCGTGTGAAGAGACGCATGCGCATATTACCCTCGTAATGCTCTTCATTCGGTTAGAGGGCCTTTTACGTCTTGACATTCAATTTTGTAGTGAATTGTGTCATCTAATCGTTTTACAGTTTCTAAAATGTAATTTCCCTGGATTATTCTTTACGATTTTTTTATTTGAATGTGAATTTTTGTACGTACGAGAAAAATGACACATTTTTACAGTGTACGAAAAAAATATTTGATTGATTACGTTGTACGTCCAGCCTGTGATTACAGAATTACGGCATTTATTTTTTCTATTTACGTTGTACGAATAAAAAATTATTGCAATTACGTTGAACGAAAATAACCCTTGCCCCCCTATTTGTGTTGATCTTCTGTAAACTTGTTACGTGGTAAGTAGTCTAGCCATTGTCGATGACATTCGAGATTCTTAGTGCGTCCCCATCTAGTGTAGCCACTGCGCCATTAACACACCACTGTAGTTCAAACACATCCAATGTCTCCATAAGTAGATGGTAGTTGTAATCGCATATATATTTCAGACGAGAGAAGAAGCACTGTACCACGTTGATTTGAACCGAGTTTTTTAGTTTGTTGTATGTGGTTATGTGTATAGCTGTTTTTAGTGATGAAAGTAAATAACACGACAAGCGATGTGACTCTAAGCGGTGGTTTTTTCCCCTCGGTGGACCAAGAACATAGTAGTAATGCCTTTATTAAAATCATATCCTGTTCAGGATCTGGATTTTTAAAATACAATAAGGTTTCAAATACATACAGAATGGCAAGACGAAAAATACAAATGAAGACATAGTGAAAACATAATAAAATCAAATAAAAACGGAGAACAAGGAATGGTTAGAAAAAAACAAAACAGAAAAGGTATCTTAATAAGTTATATTAATTATAAAACAGCTGGTATTTTTTGTTTATGAGTGTAATTTCTTAAATTGAAGCACTCAAAGATATATTTTGCCAAATGAATTAGTGATTGCTTATCTTTTGTTTTTAGAATGTCTACAGTGTTTTCAATATCAGATTTGTCAATTGTTGTAATGACCTTTGTGGTATGGAGGAACTTGTTTCTTAAATCAGCATAGAGAGCACATTTTAATAAAAAATGACTTTCATCTTCTATTTGTTTTTCCTGTCATTTTCTCTCTTCTACTGTTTGGTTGATGTATCTTCCTGCCTCAATCTGCAATGTGTGCGCACTGATCCTCAGCTTAGTTAGAGCAGATCTGTGCGATGGGTTTTTTAACATTTTCCAGATATTTTTCAAAATCGAAATTATGTTTTATCATTCTATAAGTTCTTAATTTATTTTTGCGATTTTTGCCTTTGTTATCATTATATAGTGTCTCTAGTAGACTAGAGGTACATTTTGCCAGTCAAGTAGTTTATAGATAATTGTGTTGAAAATGTCAAATAGTGGTGTTAGCCTTGGGCACTCGACAAAAATGTATCCTCATTGTGTTTACGGATTTCAGGAGAAAGCTGCCAGTGGGGTAGCCTTGGACCCACGTCGTTGTGTCGAGTGGACGATATTTAAATCGGTCACTTATGACTGTCCGCTTTACCAACGCTATCATGGATCCTTCCATAGCATTTTGACATAAATTTACTAGGAACAGAAGTGTACCTTTTTCTAAACTAAAACATGTCAGAACGAATGTATTGATTATTAGCAATAAAATGTGACACTACAAATCCCCCATTCATACGACTTTAGAGCAATTTTGTGCGAGATCATTGTACGACAACGAAAAGTCGCAAAACGAGAAACCAGTTTGGTAGCCGAACGTGCGCATTTGCAAACTGCAAACAACACCTGGCAGGTCATGTGATCGCGCAATTATTTATTTTTGCATGCGCAAAGCATTGACGCAGCAGGTCGGCGTCTTCTTCACACCGAACGTTCTACGGCTGGTCGCTATCGCACAGCAAACTAATGCAAAATCGCTCGGAGTTGGGTATTTATATTTAATTTCTGGAGTCGTATTTTATTAATAATCATTGTTAAATTGCAGCAAGCTCATTTGTTAGCCCACAACTGCTGGGCAACATTTTGCTGCACATTTCCCTGAAAGTTGCACAGGAGGATCCATGGCGGTGTTGAGTGGGCTGTCAAGCGACCGAATATAATAAGCCCACCGTGGATCTAGGGTTATGTTGGGTGGAACTTTTAAGCTTAACAAGATCAAGTGTACAGAACAGTGAAAACGTTTAGTGGACACTGTGAAGGCTTACTAAAATACTCGTGAGTATTAATCATACCGTAATTCAGTTCCGGGATTCAACTGTGTTTTAGCTACTCGGTTGAAGCTAGCACTAGCAGACACATCAAGTAGACATAGGAAGATAGCAGACGCGCTAGCAACCAATATCTATCGGGCAACACAATATTTTCAACAAAACTCAGGCACCCAGTAATTCACTTAGAATGGGGAATGAATAGAATTGCTCTGTTATTATCCAATTACATTTATATATTGAGGTTAAACTATGATTACTTGATGAGACAGTGTCTGCTAGCTTTGACTGTCTCCTGTGAGTGTCTGCTAGCTTTGACTATCTCCTGTGAGTGTCTGCTAGCTTTAGCCGAGTGTAGAAGCTTTATCCCAAACTTCTGCCGATTGGTGTGTGTGTGTATTGCGGTACTAACTTGACTTGCTGAATAGCTGGCTGATAGACACACTTGCCGGGCTTGGGGTTTGAGTATGCCTTAAACGATTGGTAAATGAGGGGGGGGTGATACATTTCGAATAAACTTTGACCTATGATCAGTAAACCCTAGTACACGTACCTTGTCCATTAGGGACGGACCATTTGATATCCTGGGGGCAGGAAGATTGAAATGAAGACTACTTTTTTTTCCCTATCTGATATGGAATATTTTTCAGCATTGTCATAGAATTTTTTTTCACAAAATCTCCCCGGGATATCAAATGGTCCACCCCTTAGTTTTAAATTTTTAAAACTATTATTTGATACATTAAAATTAAAACAGTTTTATATGTTAATTGTATTTTTTGGAATAAATATGTGCACAATATTTATTAGACTAAGTGAAATCTATGGAATGAATGAATGCACAAAACCCAAATAGAGCACAAGCATTCCTTCTAATAGAAGTGAAAACACTTTTTAGTAATTCTTTTACATTGGCACAATATGCTTCTGATTTGGCTCAATTACACGGTAATTGTCAAGATTTCAGTTAGTGTTGTTTGCGAGTATTCAACCAAATAAATTAAGGAAAATTATTTATTACAATTTTTTGTTTCAATAGTGGCACATAAGTATAGATTTAGACTCAAGTTATCAACCTATTGACCTATCTAATAAAAATGTAAAACAAAAAAATTTAAATTGTTGGAACTATTTACATAGCAATTCACATTAAAACGTTATTTCCCAAAATTAAATTTTAACTATCCTAATAATTCATGACGGCCAGGAGTATCCATCTCATAACTACCGATACAAATGATTTTTTTAATACAGGTAATTGAGCAAAATTTTGAGATATGTTGAAACTTTTCACCAATCAACTAATCTATCAATATATTGGCCCCAAAAAGAGAAAAGGGGAGAAGAAGAACAACGGCATGGCTTAATGGTAGTTTTTTAAGAAATGAATACTCAAAGTTAAACTGGCTTGGAATTGACCTAAAAATGTAGAAAACATTCTAGTGACTAGTGGATCATATCCATGGGAATGAAATACCCCAAAACGGATCAGAAGTTTTAACAAAATCAGTGAAGAAAGTATAAACATGTTTACAAAAAATTTTGAGAAGATGAAATCTTTAAAACAATACTGTTGAATTAAAAGAAACATTAAAAAAGAAAATTACATAAAGGATCCTTGTGATCATCACAGAATCTCCCTTGTCTTTAAAATTAGGTCAAACTCTTTAGATCTTGAAGGTAACAAAATGGGATGGAAAAATTACAGGGGTAATGAAATTTGTGGAGTCTGCAATTAGGGCAAAGAATACATTTACCACTTTCTGTATCTTATAAGAAACGAGTTTTATTTAGCATTAGAAACCTCACTGAGAAACAATGTTGAATCTTCATCACTAATGAATAGCTTTCTTTCAGGGGGGTTGTATTATAGGTTCAATTTCCTTTTTGGTGATGTGCTATGGAACATAAATAAAAATGTGGGAAATACCTCATCAGCTTTAATCAGGAAATATGTACTGTGGAATACTTTATTTTCGCTGGAATTAATTTTCGCTGAAAAGGCTTTTTGGGCGTTTTGCTTGGAATTCATTTTCACTGATTTTTCATGAGTTTAATGTGAAATATAGGAAAAAAAGTATATTCGCTGGATTTTATTTTCACGGAATAGCGAAAATAAATTCCAAGCGAAAATAAAGTATTCTACAGTATTCTACAGTAACTGATTTATGGCAATATAGAAAAGAAATGATGAATGTATATGTATTACTGTTTTCATAGTGCCAATACAAAGGTTGAATTAACATTATTATTATTCATTATTATTATTAAAACCATTATGTAAAATTTAATGGTTGCACACAACCTCGACTTTAATCTTAGTTATTGACTTCCATTACTCACATTTTCAACAATGTATTAATCTTTAGTTTTCTATTTCACAGAGGATGTTCACAAAGGAAGAAGCCACTGAATTCATCGAGGACACACTAGAGATAAAAGATCCACTGAAACAGTTTGATGTAAACAGACTGGTGTTGCTGAACAACATAATAAGAGCTATTCAGAACAATATTCCTTTTCAAAATATTACACTGTTGTGTCTACAGAAAAATGATCGAAGAGCACCAACAATGGAAGAGATAAAACGTGATGGTCTATCACTTGTTGGTGGTATTTGCTCTGTGAATAATGTATTTGTGAAGTGTTTGTTAGAGACTATTGGTTTCAATATTGATTATGTATCGGCAACTGTAACTCATCCTGACAACCATTTTCTGTGCATTGCAAGCAATGTAATGCACCAAGGAGATAAATACATGGTAGAAGTGGGATGCGGTTATCCAACATTTGAAGCCATTCCTTTGGATTTTGAAGAAGAATCGTCAATATATAAATTCTCATTTATGCAATTTAAGCTTGTTAGAAATCATGGGATTATAGAAAGGCAACATTTTCGGCACTCAGAAACCCACTTAAGATTAGGCAATGACCCTGTCCATAAGAATTTATCAGGGCAGTGGGTGAGGTTTTATGATTTCAAAGTCACTCCTGTCGAATATTGTCACTTTGATTCTCCCATGCATCAAGTTTACACAGTTCCTGGTGCAAGCCCATTTCTGCTTAGTCTTAGATTGGTTGTATTTAACGATGAGCGGTGCTCTGTGGTAAGGGACAACCTCCACTTGCAAGAGGGTGATGACAACAAATTGCACGTAGTTGAACGTTTGGAATCAAAGGAAACTATGATAGCCTGCATCTCCAAAATCTGTCCCCAACTTCCAGAGTTAGATATAAAGTGTGCGGTTGAAATGTGGGAAACTGAAATTAAACCAACACTTGAAAAATAATAATTTTTGGTTAGAACATGTGTATTCAATAAATATTGGATTGTATCATTTGTCTCATTTGTTGCCATCTTCTTACTTGGGAGTGGTAGAAACAATGTCAAAACCGAGGAATTTGCCTCTGCTAAGGCTTCTTTGTTTGTTTCAGAAATTGTGAAAAAAGTCTGTCGTTTCTATATCAATCAAATTAAAAACAAATCATGTAACTTTTGAAGCATCGACAACCTGAAAATGTTGAATAGTTCTTTGGTATTATTTTTATTTTGAAAAAATTCAGAATTTTCTTGTGTTCGAACATACATGAATAAAATAAAACATCTTGGATGAAATGGTTATGATTTATACCAGTAATACCAGAACGCCATGACATCGCCCTGACATTTTCACTCAGTTTTCAGTTGTGAAGTTGTTTCGTAATATCATACTGCACATTAAAAATCGGCTAATATCATGCCAAACATTTCATATCTTATCATACTGAATATCATACAGAGCATTTAAAATTAGCTAATATACTGAGCATTTCAGATTAGCTAATATCATACTGAGCATTTAAAATAAGCTAATATCATACAGAGCATTAAAAATCAGCTAATATCATGCCAAACATTTCAAATCTTATCATACAGAGCATTTAAAATTAGCTAATATCATACTGAGCATTAAAAATTAGCTATAATCATACTGAGCATTTAAAATTAGCTAATATCATCCAGAGCATTTAAAATTAATTAATATCATACAGAGCATTTAAAATTAGCTAATATCATACTGAGCATTTAAAATTAGCTAATATCATACTGAGCATTTAAAATTAGCTATAATCGTACTGAGCATTTAAAATTAGCTAATATCATACTGAGCATTTAATATTAGCTAATATCATACTGAGCATTTAAAATTAGCTAATATCATACAGAGCATTTAAAATTAGCTATAATCATACTGAGCATTTAAAATTAGCTATAATCGTACTGAGCATTTAAAATTAGCTAATATCATACCGAGCATTTAAAATTAGCTAATATCATACTGAGCATTTAAAATGAGCTAATATCATACTGAGCATTTAAAATTAGCTAATATACTGAGCATTTAAAATTAGCTAATATACTGAGCATTTAAAATTAGCTAATATTATACCGAGCATTTAAAATTAGCTAGTATACTGAGCATTTAAAATTAGCTAATATCGTACTGAGCATTTGAAATTAGCTAATATACTGAGCATTTAAAATTAGCTAATATACTGAGCATTTAAAATTAGCTAATATTATACCGAGCATTTAAAATTAGCTAGTATACTGAGCATTTAAAATTAGCTAATATCATACAGAGCATTTAAAATTAGCTAATATAGAATATAAGACTATAGTGCATTACAAATAGATTTGTATAGATATTCTGGTTCTTCTGTATCGCTATAAATTGCTCACAGCCCCAAAACAATTTTAATTATCCGATTCTGGCTTCCGGGTTATCGAGATGTATATAATCGAGATATATATAAATAGACAAAAAACCCAAGGATTGGGATATATAGGGTCTAGCGTGACGTCACGCTAAGGTCATAATACCCGTCAGCTATACGCATACAGCCTATAATTACACTATTGTAATGTCTAAGAAGACCTCACGTTAAAAACAGCGATGAAAACTACTTCAGGACATTCTAAAAAAGCGTTGACAAACAATAACATGATATACTTATAAATAATACAATCGCGACAAATTCATGGTGGTCATTAATGTGTAAAGAGGTAGGGGAGTGGGATAGCTGGGATGTTACTGGAAATAATTTTTTAATAATAAAACGGATTTTACGTTTTTACAAGAAATAAAATGAAAGTTCTATTGTACGCAATTTCCAATTTGGATTTTTAAACACAAATTATCAAAAATAGTATGAAATGTAAAATGTAATTAGAAATTCGCTTTATCTGTAAAGTGTAAAAATATTTTTTACTGTAACGCTTACGAAAAATAATATCTTAGTTTGTACAAATTACGGACGAATAAAATTAAGTTTTTTATTTATTTAAATTACATTATTACGAAAATGAGACAATTGATTACAGCTTAATTGCCGACCCTCTGTATTGAAATCATGAACAATTTCGACTATTACCCGAGTCCCCCATCACAAACGAGTGATGTTACAATAACCATCAGCGAGGGCAGTATATAAGAGTTCAATTCAGCTGGTCATCTAAATGTTTTTTTTTTAGCGGGAGTGAGTACCATCGCAAACTTAACTCTTCATGCAACAGGCGCGTGCCGCTCCATTTAGCCGGCAAAAAAAAATGACAAACCCAACCCGCTGGAGGTGCGCGGACGTAGCCTTTGGCCACGTCAATAGAAGCGCCCCCTACAAAATTTCTGGATCCGTCAGTGCTCCTTGGATATGTTGAATGTTTCGAGTTAAGAAAACATCGACAATTCGATGTTCACTTAACGAGTTTAGGGCGACATAGATTGTTTTAGTTGTTTAACGTCAACTTTTCGCCGAGGGTAGTAATTCGCTCGTAATATCAGACAAAGTTAGATAATAAATGTAATGGGTTCTATGGGATCTAATAGAT